ATATATGCAACAGTGGTACTAATGTTATAGAGTAACCACCTAGTTTATGATTGAATGTAAGGACTACTCTAAAGGATCAGAAACATCTGATACTGTAAATTTGGTCTAGAACACATGCCTGAGGAGATAACAGGCCCCAAGTGTGAATCTACTACTATTATTTTGACAAATTGAGATAGCACCAAAGTGTTCTCCTAATTATAAGTCTATACTCATTAGCTATTTTGATTCTCAGACCTCAGCATAGAAGTTTGTAGTTCAGTACACAAAAATAAGATAGAAACCCACAAAGGGGAAAGAAGAGAAGCTGGCGAAGTGCACCATCACAAATCACATATCTATACCATACTCCCAGTCTAGGGTTCAGTGATCATTGCAGGATAGGTGGAAGAAAAATTTTCGAGAAGGAGATGGAGGTGAGGGCTGCAGCCAAGTGATATCTCTTACAATGGCAGGAGCTACACTCATGGTATTTCAGCACCTATGGTTGCCTGCATGAGACCTGAATAAAACCAAGCTAGCTAAAATTCTAGCATAGTCAAGGCTCCATTTCAACTGAAGAGCTTTTGAAAGTTTCTGGCAGGTAGGGACCAAAGATTCAGTTCTCTTTAAAGACATGGACCCTGGTAGGTTTACTCCCATCAAGTGAATGCACATACATATAAATATATGGAGATCATAATTTGGACTTAGTAAGCTATTTAAAAATTTACTGGGATTGAAGAATTAGTAAAGAGTTGAGGTTAAGTCTGGGGGAAGTACGGGTAGACTAGAAAATGAACACAAAACAGATTCTCACAGAACTAATAATATTATTTTATTAATAACATATACACTAAACAGCTAGCTAAAACTCAGAACCTTAGAAGCACTAAAGAATAACGAGATAAATACTTTAATATTATAATACATATGAAAGTTTGCTGAATAACAGCTCAATGGCTCAGTAAGTAAAAGTGGGGCATAAGTTATGACACCAAGTCAAAATCATTGTCACAGTAATTGAAATGGTATATAAAACAAAACCACATAAGAAATAACATCTCTGTCATCTGTTCATCTGATAACAGACTAATCTCCAAAATATAAGTCCACCAAAGATAGTAAAAATAAATAATCTGCTTAATGAATATAATATACTTTAAAAAAAACAAATACAAAATTCCCAAAAGAAAAAATGTCTGAGAGATCTTGTCCCTTTCCCCTTCTCCAGGGGTCCATGTATGTCTCTCTTAGGGTGCTGAGCTATTGGGAGTATAGGGGAGGGGAGAGGAAGTTATGGGTAAGAAAATGGAAGAAGAGGAGGAGAGGAGGATATGAGACAGCATGAAGATAGAATCAGGGGACTGATGGGGAAAGTTCTTCTGTTTGTATGTTTCTCTGATTGGTTGACAAAGCACAGTTTGCCAATAGGGAAGCAAGATAGGTGGGACTAGGAGTCAAGGAGAATTCTGGAAAATGCAGGCAAGGGTAGTAGTCACCATGTGATCCCAGGAAGAGAGGGCACAAGTCTGGCATTGTTCATAAGATAAAATCTTTATAAAAATATAATCTAGTAATTATGGATTAATAGTTAAGTCAAAAGTAGCCATTAAATAACCATAATAAACAGCCAATAGCTTCATAATTAATATTGTCTCCTGTGTTATTTGCGAGCAAAGAGCATGGTGGGACCCAGGCAGCCAATGTGAAAGAATACACATTACATATGTCACCTAACGTTGGTTGCATGAATTTTCATGTAGAAAGGCAAATATGGATTTTAGAAATAAAGCGCGATTTTAGAAACAAAAAGGTATTTTAGAAACAAAAGAATTGAGACAAGTACAGCTTCTTGGAAGCAGCATTTTATCAAGTGGGCTCTATTTTGCTAGAGACAAGCAGAGATTTGCACAACCAGTGCTGGCAGTAAACTTATGCCTGCCATCTTGGAAAGACAAAACTTAAAACAGCTGCAGCTTTGATTTTAGCAATGTTCTTTAGCAGATAGAAGATATCTGGCCAGAAAAGCATAAAGATTTACAGTAAAGTCAGATTCAGATGCAGTAAATCCTCTAAAAGGTTTATAATGTGCTAAAAAATATATGTAGGCTTAGGAGAGAAAAAAAGAGAAAGAAGCAAAAAACAGGATACTGGCTGGGTGTGGTGGCTCAAGCCAGCACTCCAGAGACAGAGGCGGATGAATTTCCACAGAGAAAGAAACCCTAACTTAGATAATAAATAAACAAATAAATGTAAAATAGAGTAAAAAGAAGCCAAGTAAAGATGAAAAGTACAAAGAGAGTCTGGATATGCTATTGTGTTGTCTTTGAATTGCTTGACTGCTAAGGAAATAGCAACAACTGCTAAAAGAAATGCTGCTGAATTAATCCAACATATATTTTAAAAATGATTTGACTTCTAAATTTAAATATATAGACAGATTACTTGGAAAAAGAGATTTTACTTGTGTTTCCACAGAAAATGAAAAGCTCTGGATTCCTTCCAGACTTCTACTGTTTGTTGAAGCAAGACCCCTGAAGCAGTGGCCGAGGTGAGCCAACATCTAAAACACCTGAGATGATGCAGGCTTGCAGACTACAAAAAACAAGGACTTAGCCAGGTTTCTGTGCTTTGTCTTGATCCTCATGGTATGGCCAGTGCCCCCAACCAGCAGGAAGCAATTTGGAATGAAAAACACCCAAACTCCCAAATACTATTTATACATTTTTTGTTTTCATTTAAATGGAGTTGGTTATAAATGGTTAATTATCACAACTAATCTGTTTTTAAAATTAAAAGAGAGATTATGGTATAGAAATGAATACTTTGTATTGATATGGATTTTCATTTATTGGTACAAATTTAAGATCAATTTTATGATATATTTCTCTTCTTGTTTAGATATTGTGTTTATATGCTCTTTTAAATTTAAATGTATAATTAATACAGATTACAGACAGCTACATATAATAGTCAAAACTTATAGTTAGGTTAGATTTTCTAGATATACAGAGCTATTTTTGAGATGGACAGATTTTCCTCAAACCTTTCAAAGACCTACAGAATATTATGAAATTTAAATGGTTTAAGGTTTTTCATGATAGTGAGACAAAACTGCTCCTAACACACCAATTGCATCTGAGAGGAAGATGGATATCGAAGAAACTCGTTATGGAGTTTGCTTTCATCATGGGAAGATTAGCCATTTGGGCAAGAAACTGCTTTTACCTGAACTTTTTGAATGTTGCTGTATAAACTGGACATAAAAGACCCACTGGAATGTGACTACTAAATTTACAGAACACGATAGACAGTTGTATTGTGTTTATGCTTCATGGAAGAGTCTGTCAGACATTCTTCAGGACACAGAAAAACAACTGACAAACTGCCAATGCAGATGGACAGTTTAAAATTTCCTGCTTTGCTGAGAAGTCTTCCAGACATACTGTGGTCTATGGACTGAAGAAGGATGCCCCAAAGTTACAGATGAACTTCGGCTGACTATCCAGGTATCCAGATGTCTCTGTCAATTCTAGTGTTTATATGTTACCTTATGTGGTCTTTGATAGAGTTGAAGACAGATAGTTGCAGTTTTCCTTACTTAATGATAAAAGATAAGATACATATAAGACTTTAGACTCACACAGATAGGATAGATGATAAAAATTCTTCCTTTAAAATCTTAGTAAATGTTAATAGCCTAAATATTGTAACTATAGTTCTTTCTTGATAACTGTTCTCTTATATAATTTGACTATGATAAAGTTAATTTTTTTCTTTTTATTTAGACAGAAAAAGGTAGATGATGGGGCAAGTCCACCTGTGTATGTTTGTCTGATTGGTTGATAAATAAAGCACTGTTTGTAATAGGGAAGCAAGATAGGTGGAATTGGAGTCAAGGGAGGATTCTGGGAAATGTAGTCAAGGGTAGGAGTCACCATGTGATACTGGAAGGAGAGGGCACTAGTCTGGTATTTTTCGTAAGATAAGACCTTATCAAAATATATATTAGTAATTATTGGTTAATAATTAAGTCAGAGATCACCATTAAGAAGCAATAGCAAATGGTCAACAGCTGCACAATTAACACAGCATCCTGTGTGTTAATTTTGGACTGATGCAGCTCTGGGACCAGGCTGCATAGGAATGAATTTTGGGAGCTCATTCCAAATGGAGGGAACCCCTCTCAGCCTGGACACATGGGCGAGGGCAAAGACCCTGCCCCAGAAGAAGTGAGAGACCCTGGAGATCCCCCATGGAGGTCTTCACCCACCCTGGGGAATGGTGTGGGGATTGAGTGGGAGATTCGGGCTGGTAGAGGGGCAAGGGAGAAGTGGCAGGGGGATCTGGGATCAACACTTGAAGCAAGCATGTTTCTAATTTAAATAAAAAATATCGAGAGAAAATTAAAAAGTCTATTCTTGTTGGTTGTCACAACATAGCTATAGAACCCAATCTCATCAGTGTACCCTGAATCTGGATATGGCCTTCTGCCTTGCTGTCCTGCCTTCCCAGACACAATCTATAATATGTGCCAGGCAATTGTGTTTAAATTGGTCTGTCCTGCGAAGGTTCTGGGAAAGAATTGTCATGTTAAAATACTTAGTATGTGCTTATTAGTGTTGAATTACATGATTTTTCTGATGGTGTTTTGCAGAACTCAAGCAGCCTTCCTTGGACAATTGCTTTCTTTGTTGCACTCATGTATAAAAGTCTATTGAAACAGAAGTATGGTTGTCTACAGCTTTAGAATGTAGTATGCTCCCTTCTTTCTGCTCCTCAGATCACATGTCCAGGAGATCACATCTTCACAGGTAGCCTGAAAAGTAAACAGTTATATGATGTTAAATCATAGGGAGAAATATAGGCATTTTATTCATTCAACATTTATAATTGTGATTGACTGTATTGATATTAAATACTTATATGTAAAATATTCTCCCTTAACCGCAAGGGAGACAATTGTAAACAATTCATTTTCTTCATTTTTCTTGAGTTTTCAGTAACTGCAGTAAGGGTTACATACCTTGAAGGAAAACAGCAAGATCCCAAAGGTGTTTTTAGGATGGAACTTATCCATTTGCACTGTTAATGTGATGACCACTGAAATTTCCCTAAACTTAGAAGATTCAACTACATAAACTGTGGTGGGGAATGCAGCATTCATGCTCTTCCTTAATGTGTGCTGGAGAAACTCACAGGAATGACTGACCTGAACAAATGGGAGATCATGGATCCCAGTTGCACAGCTGTGGGTTCAGCATAGGACTGAACCAGGCTCCCTGAACATCGATGTTAGTTGGAAGACCTGGGCAGTATATGGGGCCTGTGGCAGGGGAACCAGTATTTATCCCTAATGCAATAATGGGCTTTGAGAGTCCGTTACCTATGAAAGGATATTCTCTTTGCCTAGATACAGGGTAGAGAGCCTCACTCCTGGCCCAAATGATTCTCCATGGGAGGCCTTACATTTCTTGAGGAGTGGATAGGGGTTCGAAGGGAAGATGGTAGGGGGAAGGAGAGGATGAAAGGGAGAGGAAACTGGGATAGACATGTAAAATATTTTTTATCATTTTAACCACAACTTTTATTATAAAAATTGGAAGATGAGAGTGCTGCCCAGTGATACTACATTAACACAACTAAGATCCTGTGTCAGAGCCTCACAATCAAAAGGAAGACATATACAACAATCAAAAGTCAAACAAACCTGTCTGCAATCCCAGTACTCAAGAGGCTGAACCAGGAGGCATGTAAAGCTGAGGATAGCCTGAACTAAAAGACCCCATATCAAATAAAGAGAAGGGGGAAGGGAAAGTAAGAGGTAAGAGGAGAGGAGGGAAGAGGAGGGGAGGAAGAAAGGGAAGGAAAGGAGAAGAAAACATAGCCAATATATCTTATTTAAACCTAATGTTTCCTCTAGGTCAGGCAAGGGATGGCCAAAAACCCTACCCTGTCACTTACCCTCAGAGGTTTTACTACCTCTTCAAAGGTTTAGGATAGAAACAATGAAAGCCTTCTCATGTCTAGGGAGGAAATAATTCCATTGCTAAAGGCACATATTTCTCAACAGATTGAGGCAGGAGAATCTGAAATACAAGTCTGCCTTTGTTGCATAGCAAGTTTGAGGGCAGTCTGGATTCCTTTTCTCAAAACACAAAATAAACAAAATTCTGCATATTTATTTTCCTCAATATATGTTTTCATTTAAATTAGAAACATGAATGCTTCACATGTCAATCCCAACTCTCTTTTCCACCCCTCCTCCCTTGATCCTCTACCTGCCCACCCCAGGCCCCTACCCAATTCCCACATCATTCCCCAGGAAGGAAGAGGCCCTCATGGGGGTATCTCCAAAGTCTGTCATTTCATCAAAGGCAGGACCCAGGCAGGTCCTTCCCCATGTGTCCAGGCTGAGATAGGTTCCCTCCATTAAGACCTGTTTCGAAAGATCTTTGACTCTTTAAAGAAAGAAATTAAAGAAGACACCAGGAATATTGTACTGTAAGTTCTATCTAGAGCATTAAGACAACAAAAGGAGATCAAGGGGATACAAATTGGAAAGAAAGAGGTAAAACTTTCAATATTTGCAGATGATATGATAGTTTACATAAGTGACCCAAAAATCCTACCAGATAACTCTTACAGCTGATAAACGCCTTCAGCAAAGTGGCAGGATACAAGATCAACTCAAGAAAATCAGTAGCCCTACTATATACAGATGTCAAAAGGCCGAGAAAGACATCAGAGAAACATCACCCCTTACAATTGCCAAAAACAACATAAAATACCGGGGGTAATGCTAACCAAACAATAAAGACCTGTATCACAAAAACCTGTGTCTTTTTATGGGCAAGTTAAGACCATTCATACTGAGGGATATTAATGACCATTGATAGCTCATTATTGTTTGTTTTAGAATGTTGTTGGTGGTGGTGGAATTGTATGTGGATTTCCACCACTTTTTATTTTGCCTTTTGGTAAAGTGTGATTATCTATTGCCTATGTTTTTCTGGTGATAATTCACTTCCTTGGGTTGGAGTTTTCCTTCCAGAATTTTCTGTAGGGCTGGGTTAGTGTATATGTATTGTTTAAATCTACTTTTGTCATGAAATATCTTGTTTTCTCCATCTATATTGATTGAAAGCTTTGCGTGGTATAGCAGTCTTGGCTGGCATCTGTGGTATGTTAATGTTCATAGAATTTCTATCCAGGACCTTCTGGCTTTCATAGTTTCCATGGAGAAGTCAGGTATAATTCTGATAGGTTTGCCTTTATATGTAACTTGGCATTTTTTCCTAGCTGCTCTTAATATTCTTTCTTTATTCTGTATGTTCGGGTCTTTATTATTATGTGTCGAGGGGATTTTGGGGGGTACACTCTATTTGGTATCCTGTAAGTTTCTTGCATGTCTTTCTTTAAGTTGGGAAAGTTTTCTTGTATTATTTTGTTGAATATATTTTCTGGCTCTTTTACGTGGGTTTCTTCACCTTGTATGCCTATTATTCTTAAGTTTGGTCTTATCACAGTGTCCATTATTTCCTGAATTATTGGATTTAAAGTTTTCTTTGGTTGATGAATCCAATTCTCCTAGTGTATCTTCAACACCTGGAATTCTCTCTTCCCTGTCTTGTATTCTCTTGGTTATTCTTGCATCTGTAGTACCTGGATGTTTTCCCAGCTTTTCTATATATACCTAGAACACCCTCCATCTTGATATGTCCACTAGAAAAAAATTGGACAGTATGAGGATAATTTGGAATGTAAATCTTGAAATATATTGATTTTTATCATTTTCTAGTCCAGAGACTTTAGTGAAGAGTTGGTTGCCAATTTTCACACAGATTCATTGTCTGTGATTTTTTTCTTAATAAAATTAAAATCATATTTTCTCAATTTTAAGTATGCTCAAAGAAATGTATGAAAAAAGAATATATTCTAAAGCTCATGAATTGAAACTTCAAAATGGAATTTTTAAAAATAGCACCATAAAATTATCCAGAAAAACTCTCTTCCTCTTCTCCCCCTCTCTTCTTCTCTGCTCCCATTCCCCACCACCACCACCTCTCACCATGTTCCCAATCTGTTCAGGAAATCTTGCCTCATTCCTCTTCTCTGAGGTACCATGCCTATCTCTCTTAGGTTCTTTCCTATTTCCCAGACTCTCAAGGTTAAGTGGGGGGATAGAATAGGGGGAGAAGAGGATGAGAAATACCATAATAGAGGGAGTCATAGGTTAGAAGAGAGATCAGGCAACAATGTGACCTCTAGTGATCTAAAGAGATGACACCAACTGGCAAGCAAAGCAATAGTGGAGAGACAACCTTAAATGCCCATTGCTGATAATGAACTTGACGTCTACCCTATATGTCATCCTAGAACCTTCATCCAGTGACTGATGGTAGCAGAGGCAAACACCCACAGTTAAACGCTGAACTGAACCCATGGAACCCAGTGACGGAGAGAGAGGAGCAATGAGCAAATTTGCAACGAATGGGCTGGTGAAACCAGCAGAGACAGCTGATCTGAATGAGGGGGAGCTCTTGGACCCCAGACCAACTGGGATTTATCCAGACCCCCTGAGTGTGATAGTCAGTGAGGAGGCCTGGGCAACCTATGGGGCCCTGGGAAATAGATCAGTATTTATCCCTGGCATACAAATGGACTTCAAGTGTCCATAACACAAAGAGGGATCCTCTCTCAGCCTGGACTCTTAAGGGAGTGCCTGGACCCTGCCATGAGTGAAATAACAGACTCTGGATATCCCCTGTGTAGAAGGAAGTGGGGATAGGGTGGGAGGCTGGGGGCTGGGAGGGGATGGTGGGGGGTGCGGGAGGAGAGGAGGGAGGGAGAGGCAACTGGGACTGACATGTGAAGCAAGCTATTTAAAATTATAGTAATAATAAAAAAGTTAAAAAAATTATCCAGAAAAGGAAATGAAGTGGATGATAATTACTGTTTCTAGCTCAAGGCATCTATTTCATATGGCACATTGTTTCCCCATACAAATATTAAATCATCATGAAGAAATATAGAACCATATTTAAAATTGGCCTGATTGCCTTACTTGATATGCAAAGATCCAGTGGACAGTATGTACTGCTACCAGTATTTACTAAAAAAGAACACTCCTGAAGGAACATTATTTTCCTTTTGCTTATTCAGCTTTCCCTTTTGCTACTGGTGCTGCACCCTTATGTTGCTGATACTGATTCTCTGCAGGTCACTGAACCTGCTCTTCAAATCTTTTGTCTTAGACTGAGAGGAACAGTTCGTCAGAAATCAGATAGTTGGCCGTGTGTTAGGATTGCTGAAACATCCAGTCAATGGACTGCAGCTGGGTTCTCAACTTCCTAGGTATGAGGTGACTGTTGCTCATTCTTTATGTATATGTGTTTGTGTCTCTGTGTAAGGATACATACATAAATATTCATTCTATTTGTGAGGTTCCAGTTGACATGCCTAATATGCTGTATATGCATGAATATTAAAAATATTTTTGCTTCACTATGCTGACTTCTTTAAATTACATCCTCCAATGAAAAGAAAAATATAATCTGGAAAGATGTTTCTACCACTTTCCCAGTCTCAAACTGAATGATATTTTAAGGGACAATGTTAAAAACTCAGTCTGGCATGGTTGGTACAGGCTTAGAGCACTTATAGAGCCAGTAACCCTGAAAGTTTGAACATTTTCATCTACTTTGTGATTAAGACACATTTCTTTTTTTAATTCTAGTGCTAAAATAGTGCTTAGCTTTGATCAAGCCACTTAGTTGAGTCTTCTACTTCCAAGGCTTCGGCCATCATTTGTTACAAAGTAATGGCTTTCTAATGTGGAGATATTAAGATACACAAAATAGGGATGTCCTATGATATTTTGTGAAAAGCCAAGAGAGCAGAGAACCAATGGTCTGAACACGGCTCTCCGGGAGGCAACCAGAATGCAAAGAGAGAAAGCGTCTCCTCCCACTAGGTTTATCCCCTATATATTCTATGTACATGTGACCACACCCAATGGGCATGGTCAGCACTACAGGTATGTGAATCTCTCCTTTACTTCCCCTTTTAGCCTATATGAGTTTTACACAGGGATCAGGGGAATGCCCACCTACAATCCCCCTGCCAGAGAGTCTGGGAAAGAGAACCTTCAACCAATGACTGATAAAAGCAAAGGC